TCCGGACCAATAGGAATGCAGGCCTACAAGCCTGCTAGTATGGAACAGCAACAATTAAATTTGGGTGGGAGAAATGGAAGAGGAGAAACACTATACCTGAAAAAATCCAGGGGAACACTCAACAGTAATACTTTTAGACAGTGGTGGGATTCAAATAATTTAACAACCGGTTCTCTGCCCTAATGACCAGCTGGGTAGGCATGGCTGGGTGGTCATGAGACTGGGTGGGCATGGCCAACTCAACATAACGAGGGGCGCCTCATCTTGCCTGTCCTCTCCATGCCATGCCTGGTCCTGCCTCGCCCCTTCCTTCCCCACCATTCCTTGACACGCCCAGTTGCTTACCTCGCCAGAGCAAGTAGTTTTCAAATAAAAAATAATGCTCGCCTTGTGCAAATAAATAACAAACATCTTGACTTCAGGTTTGATGCATCTTGCAAAGTATTCCTGCTCATTCTAGTCTCCTTTCCTACTAACAGGTCCATCTCAGATTGTAATTTACTACAAACTCTCTTGTCTTTTGGGAGGTTATTCTGAAATGTTATCTGTGATGGTTGCAGTTTTACAAATTTGTTTCCTCCAACCCTGTTTTCGCATGTAATTCTTATAAGTTATTTTGACATTCCTTCCTCCTTTTTAAACAAAGTAGTGGTTAAGGTAGCTGCCCTAGAAACCAAGAGACTCTGAGTTCTAGTCCCATTTTAGGCTTGAAAAAATGGCTGAGTGACCAGTCACTTTCTCCCAGCCCAAGCCACTTCTTAGATTGTGGTTGTGGGGAAACTAAGAGGAGGAAGAAATATTAGATAAGTTCTCCACCTTGAGCTTCTTATAAAGTAATAAAGACAGGATAAACATCTAACAAAATAAATAAATCGTTCTATTGAATGAAAAGGGTGAACTTAAATCTATACAAAAATTAGAGGAACAAAGTATAAAGATGAATTGGTTTTCATATGCGCAAATACATTCCAGGTATGATAAAGACTCTAAAACAGAAGGTTTCTACGATAAACTGACTGACTTAGATAAGATTTTGACAGGTACTGATGAAAAGATGATTAAAAAATTGTATGGATATTTATTAGAAATTAAACTCGAAGAAGAACAAGTTAAAGAAACAATGATTGCTTGGGGGAAGAATTTTGGATATGGGATTGATCTAGAGAAATGGCAAAAATTGTGGTTTCAAAATTATAAAATGACAATGTCAACAGCATATAAAGAAAATTTGTATAAGATGTTTTACAGGTGGCATTTTCCCCGACAAGAATAGCAAGAATGTTCAAGAACAAATCTGAAAAATGTTGGAAATGTCATCAGACACCTGGCTCATATTACCATATGTGGTGGACTTGTGCGGATGCTAAAAAATATTGGACTAAAATCCACACGTGGTTGGAAAAAATGACAAAAAAGCATATAGATTTGAAA